AAGTAGTTTTAAGCACATTTTAGATTTGTAATTTTTACTGTTTCTTGTATAGTGAGTTTACTTTCTTTGTAGTGTTCATCCATTTCCATCATCTAACTAAATTGTGAAGTTCTCTTTATTTTAAAAACAAAAAGGAAAGGTGTTGTTTGTTTCACGATGCATACATCTGTTTGATTAGAAGTCAATTCATCCATTTAGGCCAAACTTGAATCTAACATGCCCACGCACCAATCATCATCACGAGTAGGCCAAATTTGTGTTTCGTTTCTAAAGGAAAACAAAGAGGTCATCCATTTAAGACTGTTAGAGAATTTTCAAAAATAAAATGAGTTAACTTTTTATTGTTTTTCAGAACTTTCCTTATGTCCTTTGGAAAGCTTTTCGAGCCACTAAACCTTACATCTACCTGAACTGTTTTCAGGATCGGTAGACTATGTTAAACGGAAAAGATAACTCTTTCTGAGACCTTTGTCGATATTTTTAAACTCTCTAATGTTATCAATCAACTTTGTTGTATCTTAACGGCGAATTCACTAGTAACCTGATGCACACTATCTAGTAAGGGCAACATTATCGTCATTTTAAGAAATTTTGAATCAACAAAGAGTTGACATTTATTTTTATTTTTAAATAAATTACAACTCAATGGTAAATGGGGTACATAATTGTAAAATTGTGAAGATCTTGGATGATAAAAAAAATTTCAACATACTAAAAACTTGCATTTCACCTTTTATTAAATATTTGGATAAATTACACTTACCTTCCATGCAGTTTAGAAAAAATATAATAAATTCTACACTTTTAACATAATTATACTAACAACTTTTTTATTAAAATTAAAGTGTCTGAAACTAACACAAATGGTGGGTAGACACTCAAATAAATAAAAATGAATATATATTTTAGTTGAAAATAAATGAATTTATCATATGACTAACGAAATATTAAAAAAAGAACCTAATTATTATGTAAATTAAAATTTTAAAAGAAGTGAATATAATTATATTAAAATTTCTTATAAACGTCAAAAATAATAAATATACTTTATCCTAAATATTTTTAATTTCATAAGTTGCAGTGTAGTTTCCCTTTATTTTTAGAGTGCATATACAGTACCTTTTAGTGGGACTAGTGAGTCCAAAATAGTTAACCTCAGTCATTAAGAGCCTGTTTGGCAAGTGGATTTTGGACTATTTTTTTTTTATCTAAATTCATAAAAAATAAAATAGATTAAAATAATTAAAAAGACAAAATATCAAATTAAATTTATAATCACTTCATTTTTTTTTTCTCATAAACATCACATCTAATTATAAAAAAAAAAATTAATCATCTTCTTAAATACAAAAATTTTAGTCTACTAAAATAGTCAAAAACTAAAATAGTCTATTAAAATAGCTAACTTTCCAAACACCCACTAAATATTGCTTGGAATGATATACATAAGTATATTTTTTTCTTTTTAAGAAAGATGTATAAAAAAATATAAAAGTGATGTGACTCAAATAAGCATATTTATTTAATTTGTGGCAAATAATACTTAAATTAACCAATGATTTGATTGTCTTCTTCAAATAAATAAATGTGATTGTATGCTGCATGAAGAGAGTTAAACAAAGGGATTAGATTCCTTCAATCTAGTCATCTACGTTGAGAAACTAGTTGAATCTAGCCATTTGAATAATAAATATAATTTTAAGGATAATTATTTGATTTTTGTAATACTGAAACATATAATTATTACTATTTAATTATTTATATATTTTATATAAATATTCTATTCAATAAAATCTTAAAAATGATCAATTTAAATATCAAAATTGACCAAAAAATAAGCTCATCACAAGTTACCGAACCCTAAACGGATGGGCATTAAGGGTAACTATAGGAAATTCTAATATAAATAATCTTGGAAAAGGTGTATTATATGCCCATTTGGTTATATTATTATTATTTTAATTATGATATTATTGTAATTATTATTTATAAGTTATTTAGTTATATCTGATATTGTATTTTGCTATGATATTTTTTTAAATTATGATCAAAAAATATAAAATTATATTATTTTTTTAATTATAAAACGCATATTGTATCCACCTTATTTCTTGATTAGATACACAAACGTGCAAAAATGAAAATGAAAACGAAATAGGTTTTATTTGGGATGTGATTTAACTTTTTGATTTTTTTTTGTTATTTTAGCTTAACGCTAAAAAAATCTTGTTTGGATTGAATTTTTTGAGTTTTTTAACTTTTATGAGAGAAAAATAAAACGATTATGGTTTGAATATAACATTATAGGTCAAATTCGAAATATGGTTAAAAGCTAATTTTTGACTTTTAATCTGTTTTGGGTTACATCACCTCTCTATTTTTTTACATATATTTTTTTTAAAATCTAAAAAATCAGTTTTTAACAAACTTTTTAAAGTAATCCTTATCTTATTAACGTTAGTTTATTTTATCTTTTCATAATTATTTTAGCTCATCAATCTCATTTTAACTTATGTCAAACGATAGCTAAGAGGTGGACGTAGGTCGGTTGCGGCCGCGGAACCTCCAATATGTCATCTGTCCGCCAGATTGGTGAATTAAAGAAAATCAATCCACATATGTCTGTCAATTCAGCGAATGTGGATTGAACAGATTGATGGATGGATACGAATCGGTCTAGCGGTTTAAAATTTTATAAATTTTCAACATAGTTCAACTTATGCACTTCTTCAAAAAAAAAATAGCATTGCAGTTAATGACTTAAAAAAGTATTACAATCACTATATGTCTCATCTAAAGAAAGCAAGTTTAAAATTTTAGAATATTACAATCATTGCATGTCTCATCCATATATTACAATCACAGCTAGGGGTACAACTTGGGCAGGCTCAACCTGAGCAACCCGAACCCAAACCGAATTTTTTTAGTGCTTGGATAAGATATTTTCAAATTCGGTACGGGCTTGAATAAAAATTCAGAAACCCAAATTAAATTTGAGCGGACTTAAGCAAAGATATTAAACAATCTGAGCAACCCGAAACCCGAATTATACATGTATAGATATATAAAAACATTAAAGATATATATATATATATATAAATATAAATTATTAGTCATTACATGATATTAAAGTAATTTAGATTATTAAATCGTATTGAATATATATTATATATCCAAATAATATAAAATCTTACTTTTTTTATTTTATTTTCACTCATAAATTGTAAAGATTACTATAGCGGTATCTCTCTTACATTATATAAATTATTTGTTTTGATTGTATTAATGATTTTCTATGTATAAAAAAAAACGTAAATATAGTCAAATTTTAATAATTTAATAATGTAGCTGCAAAAAAAATAAATAAACTACAATTTGGTGATTCACAACATGTCTCATCCATATAAAGTATTACAATATGTGGTTCTTAAAATATAAAATAATTCAAACCACCAAAACCATGAACAGTGTAGCAATAGAGATTGTATGCATTTGTATTGTTACATCTATATCTGTTTTTTAAAACAAAAACCAACCAACATATATTATCTTTTTTTTATTAATTATTTTTAGAGTTGGATTTAAAAATCAAAAAATATAGATAAATAATATATTTATTTTTTTCAATTCAAAAAATATATTCAAGTTGAAAACTCTTTTTCAACCGAATATATTCATCAAAATATTTAAACTCTTTTTTAATTGAAAATACAAATAAAATATCTAAACAAATTGAAGGCACAAAGTCTTACAAATTATTAGAGGTGCTCGCGATTTTGCTATTCAGTTGCGGCCAAATGAGTCTTAAATCTATCATTCGTCCAAAACTAGATGAATTAAAAAAAAAAGTAATATACTTATCATCACACATTCGTCCAAAATGTAACAAAACAATTCAATTTAATCAGTTTAAGCGGATCAATATATTCGCTACCCATCCTAGAATGATTTCATAAGGAGAAAAGCAAACCCAAAAAAAAAATATAAAATAATAAAAACTTGTGTTCCAAGATTAAGGTTTTTCACAACTTTCCACAAATATTACTATATTAATATTTTATTTTTTATTTTATTGTTATTATTATTTTTGCAGGAATGTCAGAGAGTGAGATTAGTGGGCAATGAACAACTCTTGTTTTCTTTAATGTATCAATACAATACTTGTTTGTTGAGTTCTGATCTCTCTTAGTTTTTTATGTGTTATAGATGCGTGTGTTTTCTCTGTCCTCATACACCTCTCGTTGCTTCACACATACTCTCTCTCTCTCTCTCTCTCTCTCTCTACGCCAGTTGAAAAACCCACATATCTTGTGCACCAATTGACTAAAAAGCATTTGCAGAAGCAGAGACTACCTCTTTCTGTTTGTCTTATTGCATCAATCAGAATATGATTTCTCATTCTCTCTCCTCACATCTCTGTCTCATTTGGGTTGTTGATCTTGTTATATAATTTTTTTTGGATTCGGTTTCCTATAAAAGATTCCTAATTTGTGGGTTTTGGATTTCTTTATTTGGGTCATGGATGTCTCTTGTGATCTTGAAGTGGATGTCAATGGAGAAGAGATTTTCATTGTAGACAAGGTAAATTCTCTCTGTTCTTAGCTTACACTTCTACTTTGTCTTTGTGAAGAAACTGTTTCTGTTTTGTTTCTGTCCCCAAATTGTATTCTTCTACATTAATTTGTTCATTATAGTTTGGTTTTGTCTTCTGTGACGAACTTCTATCACGGGTAATTAATTCTTCTGTTCTGCTCTGTTTGGTTGCTGCGAAAACGTTGGGGAAAGAAAGCTTTATTTTATTTTATTTTTTTGGGTCCCTAGAAAACAAAATCTATCCTCTACTGAACCCAATTTGGCTTTAGCTGGAACAACCTTCTCATCTTTTGGAAACTCTTGAACATAAGATTGAAAAAATCTTTTTTTCCTTTCTTTTTACTGCATTTTCTCAGCCACCCAATGCATTGTACATAATTATTTCAATTGTACTTCTCACACATTCTAGTCTTTTTTCTAGGAAATGTAGAATTTCTTGCCTTAACAGTTCTTTGTTTCTTCACATCTTCTTGTGATTTGACTTTTTCAATATTGGAAGTTATTTTCATTTAATTATTTTGTTTTTATTCTATCAACCATATTTGCCCCTATTTTGCAGCAATGTGGGGCTAACTTTTTTCGGATTTTAGTTCTCGTCTATCTCAGTCAATTGTCTTTACCATTTCCACATATTGAACACTTAATCCTCTCTGTTTCATAGTTGCGATGGACATACCTTTTTTTTGGTTTTGTTTTTTTCAGTTCCTAAGATTACAACACAACTTTAAAATCCAAAATATCATGGTCTACAATTGTTTTTCAATTTTAAATAAAAATATACTAAAATGGATCTTTCACAACCATTGATAGGTTTAGTAATTAGCATCCTACTTTTGGCTCTACACTCATTTATTGATATTGTTATGGGTTTTAAATTTTCATAACTTTATTTGCTTCTTTCACTCCTTTTAAGAGTGGCATATGGTTATTACTGTTCTTTCCCTCCTTTGCTGGGAATATCAGCAGACATCTTTCAATGAGTCCCCTCAACAATTTATTGCCTATAACGACCTCTCATCATTCTTTTGCAGACATTGGTACAGATTCCCCTTTTCATCCCATTTTTTGGTTTGCTAAATTCAATGCCTTTGTTGGGTTTTAAGTACTGAAAGGTTCCAATTTGAAAGTGATTGAGGGTTGTCTTATATTATATATTGCCTTGATTACCATTAGTTATTTAGCTTGAGTTTGTTCCTTTGCCTTCCATGTTTTTCTACCTTACTCAATAATGTATTGCCTTCTAATTCCTTTTTCCATTTTCTTTTTGAATTAGCTCTTGATTGTGCTTGGATAGTTTATCTTTGTTTTTGTGTTTTTGTGTTTTTGTTTTTTTTTTGTTTTTTTGTCTTTGTTTTTTTTGTTTTTTGTTTAACACTGTTGGCTAATGAATATTTGCAGAAAATATTATCTTCTTATTCGGGTAGAATAAGTAAATTATTCGGTAAATCAACGAGTGCGACACGGAGTCTGAAAGTGATATTCCATGACTTCCCAGGAGGGGCAGAGAGTTTTGAGCTTATGACAAGGTTTTGCTACAACGGAAAATTTGAGATAAATCCCTTAAACCTTTCTCTCTTACACTGCATTGCATATTTCATGGAAATGAACAAATCTGTCTCCAAAACCCCCAATTTACTCGAGCAAACTGAGAAATCTCTAGATGAGATCAGGTACTGGACATGGTCAGAGCTTTTGTTAGCTTTGAAGCAGTGTCAAGATTTGCTTCCCGTTGCGAATTCTTCTGGTGTATTTAAAAAATGCTTGGATTCTCTAGTTGGAAGGATAGCATTGGCCAGCGAAACGAGTCCATGTCCATCTACTTCTTCACCTGATAGCTCTGTGATTCGGTTTTCTTGTGACACTAGAAGCACTGAAAGCTTCAAAAATGGCTTCTTTCGAGCAACATGGTGGTTTGAAGATCTTGTGGCTTTGAATCCTAATTTGATTGAAATAGTAACAAAATCACTTGTTTTGAAGAAATTCGACCATGCCATCATAGGTAGGTTTCTCTTTTATTACCAGAAGTCAAGGTTTATTCTTGCAACATCCGATGAGAAGCGCATAATCACCGAGACTATAGTCAATACGCTCTATTCTCTAGATTGGAGCATGATTTCTTACAAGAGCTTATTTGGGATTCTTAGAGTTGCTTTGAATTTAAACATAAGCAAATGCTGCAAGAACAAGTTAGAGAGTATGATTGGTTCACAGATCGATCAAGCAACGCTAGATAATCTGCTCGTTCCATCCCCAACAGGGGCAAATTATCTATATGACATAAATCTGGTCCTAAGGTTTTTGAAGTCATTTCTTGGCAAAGGACTATGTCGCATACCATTGGTACAATTGAAGAAAGTTGCTAGCTTGATGGACTTGTACATAGCAGAAGTAGCACCAGATCCTTGTTTGAGACCATCAAAGATGTCAGCTCTAGTTGTGGCCCTGCCCGATTCTTCCAGAGACTCTTTTGATGCAATCTACCATGCCATCGACATGTATCTAGAGGTATTAATTACTCTTGCCTCTTAATTTGCATTAAATGACCTTGAATTGTTTGTAATCTTTTTTATTATATAATATATATCTCTAGATCTTGTTTTAATTATTTTCACTGCATGTGTCCTGGTACAGGTCCATGCTGGTTTATCTGAAGAGGAAAAAATAAATGTCTGTTATGGGCTGAATTACGAGAAGCTCTCCCCAGAAGCTTTCAACCACCTTGCTCAAAATGAAAAATTCCCCTCAAAATCGGCTGCCCAAGCTCTCATCTCTCAGCATGGCAAGCTCAAAAGCTTGCTCCCAGTGACCGACCAATCAAAATCATTTATCGACTCGCCATGTAGTTCTGTGGACATTGATACCAAGGGAGATGACGCCTGTGAACAAGTTGTGCTTTATGCCGGAAAGCTTGATCTCTCGGCTGAGAATGAGAAGCTCAGATCACATTTGCAAGGTATGCAATGGAGGGTGCTGGAATTGGAGAAAGCCTGTAAAAAAATGCAAACCCAAATGACAAAGATCATGAAATCAAGATTGTCAAGCGGTAGTAATGCTAGATCCTTACCCAGGCTATGTTCATGATAGAGATTTCTCATTTATTTTTATTATTCATAATTATTTCCCTACTTGTGTATGTACGTAGCATGAAAAATGAGCTTTTTTGATTTTAACAGCTCCTTTTTTTAACTTCTGCAACATTAAAGGCAATTGAGAGCAGTGTCTTTTACAGAGATTGGAGTCTTGGATGGCTGTATATAAAACAGAGAGGGAAAAAAAAAACAAAAAAAAATGTTGTGTTGTTTTATGAAGTGTTTATTCTCTGTGGTGTGTAACATGTGGAGCTAAGGTTAAGTCCCTTTCCATGTCTCACAATCATGTTGGGAGCAATTGGGATACAGCAAGTTGGCATGAAATCGCAATAATCACATAAAGCTGATGATGTTTGATCAACATCTTTAAATTGTGCTTGAAATGATTTACCCATGTTTATCCACAATTATTCCCCCAATCCGATCCTTCCACTGGATGTTTTCTTGCATCCTTATCATTTGATCCTGCAAATTCTGTCACAATTTGAAAAGAGAAATGTCGTGTGTACACACACACACACCACAAACCAAAAAAAAAAAGAAAAAAAAAGAAAAAAAAAAACTACAATAACAACGTAGATTTGTTCTGAGCGTGGTGAAATTTCCAATCACATTGATTTTTCTGTGCACATTTCTATTCCAACAATATTTCCGAAACGTTATATTGGTCTGCCAGTTTTTTTATCAGTATATCAACGTATTTGTTGTGATCAAAGTTATTTTTTTTTAGATAATAGAAATAAATATGCAGGTAGGTTACTTCATATACCCGTCAGGGAACATTATCCCACCGCACCTAAGGTGCATCTACAAGGAACCCACCGCACCTACATTAAGGCCAAAGCCAAGGCGTCCTCGTGCTTTAGACTCTAAGAAGTAGGTTCAACCATAGCATGAGTCTATGGAGACTCGAACTCAGGTTTTGCGCAAGGAATTTAAAGGTCTTACCACCAAATCAACTAGCTATTATAATGTGCCAAAGCCAAGTGTTATTTCGTAAAAAATATTAATTCGTCAATAATTTAGAATAGATTAAACTAATATCAATAGTTTATGAGGGGTGTTGTTATGTAAAAAATATTAATTTCTTTAATAAATTAGAATAGATTAAACTGATATCAATAGTTTAAGAGGGTAGTTATTCAAATTGATAGTTCAAAAAATTAAAGTGACACAATTGTACTGGTTTAACACAACAAAGTGAATTTTTCCCAAATAAAATTTTCGTCTGATAGTTATTTTGGGAATTAAGCTATTTTATTTAACTCTTTTCTTTTCTTTTCTTTTCTTTTTTAATGAAAAGTGTGTAAAAGTAGAGATAAGACTTCATTTCTTTATAGTGACATTGACTTGCTAATTTTTGTTTTTATTGATTTTTTTTTTTTAATATTTGAAGCAAATGTTTTAATTTTAGATACACCTAACATAAATATACTTAAAAAGTATACTATTTGTGAATTTTTTTAAAAAAAGTTTCACTAAATACCAAAATTACAAGAAAAACAAATTAAAAATTCAGTACATTTTCGTATTCTTATGTATTTATTAATTTTTAAATTTTTTTCCACAAATATTTTACTTTTTAAGTACATCTAGGTTAGGTGCATCCCAAAAATCAAAAAATTTACTATATTAAAAAAATTAACTTTAAAAAACACACACACAAAAAAAAAAAAAACAATTTTCAAAAAAATTGAATTCAAAAATTAGAACCAAATAAGGTGAATTATTTTAGTTGATTTTTTTGATTTCTTATAAAAAGACCCCCCCCAAAAAAAATTGAAAGAATAATTGACTTTTTGACGTTTTAACCATTTTCTTTACTCAGTTCTGTTGGGTAGCTCGAAACTTGGCTACCCCGAATGACTCGAATATGAAAAATGGCGCAGTTTTCAATTTTTTTTTTTTTTTTTTTCATCTTCCCTTGTTCCTCTCTTTTCTCTCAACATTTGAGAACTCACTCTAACAAAATTGAAGCAAGATGATAAACAAATCAACAAAATGATGAACAGATCTGATCAACAAGATGATCAACATATTTGATTTACCAATCTTCCTTCGTTCCTCTCTTCATCTTCTTCCTCTATTTTCTCTCTCTAAAAATTACCAAACTCACTATAAAATTGAAGCAAGATGATGAATAGATCAACAAGATGATGAACAGATCTGATTTAGAAAAAAAAAAATATATGTTGAACAAATTTATGTTTAACAGATCTGATATGTTTATGTGAGATGAAGTTAAAACAAAAATTATAATCAACTTGTTAAACAGATCTGATCTGATCTGTTTTGTTGATTTTCAAAAAAAAAAAAAAATTGAAATAATAATAATCAACAACAACATCTTCATCAACATCATCACCATCAATACATCATCATCGGCGAACATCTTCATCAATAGCAACATCATCATCATCAACACATCATCATCGCCATCAACATCTTCCTCCTCCGCCATCACCACCATCACCGTCTTCTTCTCTTCCTCATCATCTTCCTCTTTCTCTCTTCTCTATTTCTCTCTGGGTTTGGTTCAACCTTTGAGAGAGAAACGAGTAGTGGAAGGGAAAGAAAAAAAAAAAAAAAGAAATCAAAATCAAAACGATGTCGTTTCTGAAAATCGGCCCATTCGGGGGAAAATGTTTCGAGCTACAAAACATTTATCCATTCCTCTCAGAATATTAGTCCTTCATTTTTTATTTCATTGTCCCAAAATATTGGTTAATTTTCAAAAAATATGGACTAAAATAGTATAAATTTCCTATTTTATCATTATTTTAATTTCATTAACACAAAAAGTATAATTTAAAAAAAAAAAAACACAAAGTATAATTATGATAATTGATGTTTCCAAAAAAAATGTACTCCCTCCATTCCATTTTTTTGTCCACCTTTTCATTTTGGATCGTCCCAAAATATTTGTTCACTTTTTATTTTAGGTATTAAAATTTTTTAAATTTCAAAAATAACCCATTATACACAAGTATAAACACATTTTAAAATTCAAAATCAAATGATATTATGATAAAAATATTTTAAATCTTGAATTGACATGTAATGATTGTTTGCCTCCTCAGTAATGCTACCTAGCTCGAAACCTTCCTTCCCCGACCCCCCCGTCGTTTTGAAATTTTTTTTTTTCCAATAACGCAGAAGAGGAAGAAGAAAAATCAAAAAAGAAGAAGAAGAAAGAAGAACGAGAAAGGAGGAAGAAAGGATGAAGATGTTCTGTTGCTCATCATCTGATCAACAACATCATCATCATCAGCTGATCTTCATCAACATCATCATCAACAATCATCTTCAGATCCAGAAAAAAAAATAAAAATAATCAACCATCTTCATCAACAGAACATCTTCATCATCAACCATCTTCATCAACACCACCATCATCAACAGAACACATTTTCAGGAAAAAAAAAGGGCTTTGATCGATCTGAAAAAAAAAATCAGAGGCGGAGGCGATGGCAACATCATTCCCTCTTCCTCTTCCTCTCCCTCTTCTTCTGCCCCTCTTCCTCTTCCTCTCCCTCTCCCTCTCCCTCTTCTTCTCTCCCTGATTTGTTGAATTCACCCCATGTGAAGGGGAAATTGTCTTGTGAACACACCTTGGTTGGTCAACAAGGAAGTAGGCTACCAACCATGTCAAAGAAGGAGGCTGCCGAAGTCAAGCATGGAGGCTACCCAATGGCACTCCCACCTACTCCAAGGTGTATAAAATGGAATGGTGATGGTGAGTTGAATACACGGCAAACAAGAGAGAAACACACTGCTGAGAGAGAGGCACAAAACAGAGAGAGCTAGTGAGAGCTATTTTCTGTTTGTCAGAGAGTGTGAGAGAGTGTGTTATATAGAGAGACAGTGAGTTGAGAGTGTGTAATCTCCTCCATTTGTTGATATATAACAACATCGCTCCCGTGGACGTAGGCCGGTTTGCCGAACCACGTTAAAAGTCTTGTGTTTTTTGCTTGTGAGTGTCCCCTGGTGTGCCCACGATCCGCAACAATTGGTATCAGAGCCCGGGTGGAGAAAAATCGAGTTTTTTCCGAAAGTGTCCAGATTTCGAAGTGGTCGAAATCCACTTTTGAGCATACCAGGAGGAAGGTCAGGAGGAGAGGAGTCCAAAACTTCAAACCACAGGCCAATCGGAGCTCTAACGCGCCGCCACGCGCCACCTGAATATCGAGAGTGAAGGCCACTCTCACCCACGCGCCCCACGCGCCGACGAAGGAAGAAGACGAGTGGGGGCGCGCGTGAAGCTGACGTCAGGCTGACGTCATCCTGAGCCGAGCCGAGCCGTCGAGCCGTTGACCGCGCCGCTGACCAGGCCGAGCCGCGCCGGAGCCGCGCCGCCAGCCAAGCCGCGCCGCTGAGCCGCCGTTGACCGCGCCCCTGCGCCGTTGACCGAGCCGCTGACTGCGCCGTTGACCAGCCGATCCGGAGGAATTATCTGGTGCTTCTCAGGCGCACCAGATTCAGCAAATCTGAACCGTTGAAACTGTTTTGGCTAGATCTAGGCCATTCGGAGTCCGTTTTTTGGCGATCCAATAGTGCGTTCCAACTATTTGAAATATTCCGGACCCATCCGTACGGTCAGATTCTTAAATCGGAATTTCTTTAAAAAGGGAAGAAATTTACAATGGCAGGAAAAGGCGCAAGTTTCATGATTGAGCCTTTTAATGGTAGTAATGACTTTACCCTGTGGCAGCAAAGGGTGAAAAACATTTTAACACGAGAAGGTCTGGTGAAAGCTCTTCTCAAAAAGTCCAACAAACCGGAAGACATGAAGGATGACAAGTGGGAGGAGTTGAGGGAATTGGCAAACAGTACAATTCAGTTGTATCTCGGGAACAACACACTCCGGGAAGTCATCAGTGAAGTAGATCCGGCGGAGCTATGGGCAAAGTTAGAGATGAGGTACAAGTTAAAGTCTTTGACAAACCGGTTATCTCTGAAGAGGTAGCTATATACACTTATAATGCCAGAAGGTGCGAACCTCACAGAACATCTGGACGAGTTCAATAGGATCACAATGGAATTGGACACCATTGGAGACAAGACCCAGGAGGAAGATAGGGCTATGATCTTGTTGGTCTCTCTACCTGCATCATATGAGCATCTCAGGACAACTCTATTGTACGGGAAGGATGCTCTTGGACTGGATGAGGTGATTGCTACGCTCATTTCTCATGAGTCGATGAAGAAACAGG